TCTCGACGGAGCCTGTGACTAGATACCTTGGGGTATACCTTGACCGCCGACTAACGTGTAAAGTCCATCTTAAAATGCTACGCGAAAGCTGTTTTAAATCCTTAAGCATACTAAAATGCGTTTCGCGCACATCGCATGGGGCAGATAGAAGCACGCTTTTGTTTTTGTATAGCTCAATCATGCGTTTTAAGCTGGACTACGCATGTTTTATTTATGACAGCGCGTGTGAGTCCACCAAACGCGTCTTGGACACTGTCCATCACACCGCTTTACGTGTAATCACAGGGGCGTTCCGCACATCACCTGCCGCGAGCCTCATATTGGAACTGCACGAGCTGCCCTTGTCAGCGGGAAGGAAAATGCTCGTTATGCGCTATGCACTTAAGCTGCGACAGTTCCCCTCCCATCCGGCATATAACGCAGTTTTTCACGGCCTGCTGTGCATTTTCGTCGCAGTGCACCTCGGGTACATACTGCAACCCTTGGCCTCCGAATACAACCCTTGCTGCGGGAGAGCGAAATTCCTATTCGAAGATTGAAACGGATAGATCATTTGTCCACTGCTCCCTGGCGCTTGATCCCGCAATTAACAGATATGGTCGTCTTGCCAGATATAATGAAGTCGAGGGCACTTGAGCGTATGGCATTATATGACGGTTACACACTTACACGGAAGGATCTAAAACTTCTGGCGGTGTGGGTTGTGCGTTTGTGAGCGGCGGCGTCATCCGGTCGCTTTCTTTGCTTCCACACGCGTCGGTGTTCACATCGGAGTTGGTAGCGATCACCAAGGCGCTGTGTTTCATTGAAGTCAGTGATGAACCTTCACATTTAATTTTGACAGGCTCTCTAAGCAGTGTTCTTAGTCTGAGGTCTTTTTATCCATCACGTCCCCTGGTACAAGACATTTTAGGACTGCGAGGCGAGCAGCGCTGGCCCCATGTGTACGCTCTTTTTCTATCCCTGCTAGAGATTTTTGTCCTGCAATATAAAACTTCCTGCAGAACGAATGGCGGCGTTGTTGGGATGAGACACACGAAGATTAGCTCAGAGCAATAAAACCCGAGATGGGTCATTGGTTATCATGTTCTCGGGAAGTCAGGCAAGAAGGGGTGGTGTTCTGCGGACTAGGCATTGGGCGCACCCGTATGTAACTCACGGTTATTTGCTGCAAGGATCCAAAAGACCTATCTGCCATCGATGTGGTGCTGTTCTCACCGTTCGTCATGTGCTCATATTATGTCCGCACCTCGTGGAAGAACGTCGACGTTACTTTGGACAGCGTGACTCGCCTTTGACGCTTTGTAACATTTTAGGAGACAACTCGCGCTTTCTTGCATCTAAACAAGTCTTTTTATTCCTTAAACATATCAACTTCAGAACTCTTTACGTAGTTCATTGGTCAGGTAAGGCAAAACTCGTTATGGGCGCCAAATAATCACTGTAATCGGCGAGCCCGAAAACACCAATAAACAACAACAAAACGGATGCAGGTGTAGGATGCGCTTTTGTGTGTGGATCCACAACATGGCCATTCACGCTGCCCGCACATGCGCCGGTCTTTACTTCCGAGCTTATAGCCATCAGCAAAGCTCTCTGTTTTATTGAAGTAGGCGATAACAATTTGTATTTGATTCTTTCCGACTCCTTGAGCAGTCTCCTGGCTGTTGGTGGCTTCTCGCCGTCGAACCCACGGGCTCAGGACATTCATCGCGTTTTAGCTCACTGGATCGGGTAGGAAAAACATTCCTGCTGTGTCGGATCCCAAGTCACGTGAGGATTCGTGGAAATGATCTTGCTGACGCGGCAGCAAAGCGCGTTACGACAGGGGCACGCACCTATAACACCACTACCAGCTCAAGACATGTACCCCGAAGAGTCGTCGTTCATGCAGAAGCGATGGTAGATACACTGGAACTCGCTGGGCACCAACAACCTGAAGTCGGTGAAACCCCGTATTGGATTATGGCAGTCGTGTTTTCGCGACGATAGGAGGGAGCAAGTTTCCCTTTGCCGGTTACCGGATGCCGGCATAGGCCACACATTTGCTACGCACCGTCACCTGCCATTGGCTGACAACAGACCATGTTGTAGTCGATGCTCTGATCCACTGACTGTGCATCACGTACTCGTCGCCTGCCGTCACCTGCCTGCAATGAGAATGCAGTTTTCGGACACAACGTCCAGAGTCGCGCGCTATGCCACTTTTAGGGGATTGTTCGCATGCTGTCGAGTTTAGTAACGTGCTCCAGTTTCTTCGCGCTATAAATTTCCCAGTAATCTTTTCATCATGCTACCAGGCCTGGTCACCAAGGCCTTATAGGACGACCTGATTGATACGCTTGTCTGATTCGCGGCTATGCATGAAATGATAGTTATGGGCGCTGTATGACCTACAGCTGTCGATGCGCCCCCAAAGCCCCAAATCATCAACATCATTCTAGTATCTTGCAAACAGAGTGTCAACCTTTATAAATGATTGGGGATAGGCCGAAGACTCAAGTGAGATGCTTATTATGTGGTCGGGTGGGCCATTTCCCACCGCCCGTCCCCCCCCCCCTCTCCCACTAACAAATTATTCAGTGAAATTACGCCCTTGCGAGGACATGGGAGCCTAATCTTGCCCTGACTACGCTTCTCACCAGCTCTTAAACCACTTTATTTTTACGTACGGTGGTTATTGTTTTCAGGTTGATGGCATGGAATAGTCCTTTATTTTAGTAGCATGATCATCAACCGCAGGAAACGTCTGAAAAAGGCATCTGTGATATTTATATTTTCCTAAGATTTTATAGTATTCGGATCAGAAGACTTGCTGAGGGGGGGGGGGCTATCAAATATTGGGGACGGGTGTCACCCGAGAGCCCTCACAAAGGGAACAAACCGATCCCTGCCAACAATGTCGTAGTCTTTAAACCTTGCTGTCGCTACTGTTTGGTGGTTTCGCAGGAGCGCAGTCAAGGGGCGCCCCATTCGGCCAACAGGTCTTCATTTTCACCGTAGAAGATTTTCACCACCACCTCTTTAAAGAAAATTGAGAATTGTCGTGATACGTTCTCACGGAGGTCTGCCCCCCCCCCCCTCAAGAAAATTCTGATTGCGCCCCTGCTGTTGGTACGAACTAATGGCAAGTGGGCGCGGAGGCTAGCTAAACGGAGATGAAAAAGAGACACTTTGTATTATCATGGGGACACAGTGCCTGACAAGGGATCCTGTGTCAGCAAGGGAATCCGTGCTGGCAACGGGTCCGTCCGCTAGAAATGGACAGTGACGGGACGTGCAATGTCAGTGGAACTCTTGCATTGTTCGGGGATAAGGATAAGGATAAAGGGAGATAGGAAATAGGGCAATAAAAGGCCCTGCATTAAGACAATGGAATGGTAATGTGTCGGACAGTGGGCACAATAACCAACAAAGGGCCTCGCTCCGTTTTGCCCAGGGACCCGATGTTGTTAAAAGTGATCTCCGTGTCATTTAGTAGATTCCTTGTGCATGTAAGAAATTATTGTGCGTGACTGAAAGCCTTTACTCCCAGTCTAACTAACTGCTACCGTCAGAGGACAGCCGGCGTCATAAAGGAGACCAATGTATCTTCAGAGGGCCCCCGAATCAATCATGAGGCCCGGCGCCGGTGTCACCAGAATGTAGCATCGTAAGTATGCTGTGGCCCCCAGTGTTTCACCCAAGGTGCCGTCTGGACGAAATAAGTATGTGGTGTCATTGTTCATGGAATTGACACTGACAGTGTCCGTTCCATAGCCCTCTCGTCAGCCATCCGTCGGAATAACTGGATAAAAAGAAACGAAAAGATAGAAATCATTGGGGCCCGCAGACAACCTAGGGACTCTTTCTCCAGAGGCCTTTCATAAAGCCCCATGTCACCCCTACTCCACCAAGTTTATGGATGCGCCTCTGGGCACGCGCATATGGGTGACACAGAAACCGGCGACGGTAGAAGCGGGGACAGTGAGAACGGTGAACCCGACCGCAAAAACGTGACTGTATGCGTTGACACCAATGTCCCGTTCAGTGCGAATGATGCAATTTAGGTCAGGTTTTCCGAATTTACACCAAACTAATCGCTTGATAACGTAACATATTTTTAGGGACGGAAGGAAGAAAGGGTAGCTTTTCCCAGCAAATTTGGCATGCCATGCAGTTGTAACCAACGGAAACGCAAATATCCAGATCGTAATATGCACCGTGCGAGGCTGCAAGCTGCTCTCGCTGTGTCAAGACTCCAGTGACCTCACGTCAACGCTGGGCGTTTGGGGTGGTAAAAAGCGGTCGGACATACCTCTGATGCGTCCTTGGCAAGACCGCTGATTGGCGACAACAAATTTTCAAGGCACAACTTTGATTGCACAATCAGCGCTGGTTTTATAAAACAGTTGTACTTTATACTTTGTAAACTCTAAACTACAAATAACAAAATACACACGGTTTGTAACAAATCTTTATGAGAAAGGCTAGTGGTCTGGCTTAGTAAGCATCATGCGTGATATTCAACAACCTTCTTTTTTCCGGTCCGGTTACGGTGCGACCGGCGAGCCGGGTGTGACACGAGTTGGGCTGAAGACTCGCTTACAACAAAGTCTGCGCTTGGTAGGGTCTCTCGCCATGCTGGCCTTGGCCTTACACTTGGGCTGAACACAGGCGCATTTGCTTCGATCAATTTGCGCATTACTTCAGACGAATTCGTTTCTGCTAGGATAGTACGAGCGTTCACTTATCTAACTCTTGTGCAATCTTTCCGATGTGCAGTGTTAAGCTTCGGAGGTCTGGCCTTCACAGCCTTGCACCATGACCAGCATTCATGGATCAGGCTATTGTTTCAAGACTGGTGAGTTAAGCCCTGTGACGCGATAAGTCATCTCGCACATGGTCTGCTTCATAAACAAATATAGATAAACAGTAGATACCCATCGCGCCTAGTCTATTTACGTCTGGATATATGCCAAGCGCCCATGCGCCCCGTCAGACTTCTCCCGGCCGGACGACGCCACACCGGCTCCGACCGCGCCGGACCGTCGACGCCGACGCTGCGACCTCGACGGTAAGCAGGCCGGGCCACTGGCCTGAATAGAAACCCGCGTCGACCCTGCACTGCTTCGCTCTTTCCTGACGCCCAGAACTCAGAATGTGTTAGCAATTATTCTGTGGCTCCAGGCGCTCCGACCAAGGTCCACCGTCCAATTCTTAGTGCCGAATATGAAGGACGTGAACACAACGGTGTGATGATATGACTGGCCATGGGATAAACTGGTCGCGTGTGACATCACATAGAGTGGTCGCGTTCTGACAGCACACGCCGATGTCCAGACTAACCTTCCTAACGTCGGGGCCACACATATAGGTGCCAGGACCGGATATGTTGATTCCGGTGCCCGGGAGATCCCTGTTCTGAAATAAGCAGTCTGGCGTCCAGACTAAACGCGTTGATGTCCAAAATAAACTGACGTTGAGCATAGATGTGCTACTGCAGGAGCTAAACATACTGATGCAGGATAATGTAAGCCGGTTGCAACCGATTGCAGTGCATAATTTCTATATAAGACCAGAAATGTATTAGAAATGCCACCATGTGCTCTAGTTTAATTCCACGAAACATTTCACACATAGTTACTGGAGTTAACGTGGCACTGGCACAACGATAGTAAACGTATTGCGGGATTGAATGGGAGTCATATGTAATACTTGCGCAATAACCTGTCAATGGACTGCGACCTGCATTTCACTGACGGTGTGTATTGGCCGTTCGCAAGCAGCTCGTCATATTCCAAAGGGAATTGTTAAAAAAATCCGGTGCCGGCTTGGGCTTGAACCAACGACCTCCGCCATATAAATACAGCACGTCGCCAACTGCGCAACTAAGACTGAAAGGCACGTTTCGTGAATTCAGAAAGCTCACGGCGTGCCGTGCGGGAAAACCCTGGCATGGCGAGGCACATTGGTTCCCCTAGGTATAGATCGGTCCGTAGATCGGTGTATGGTGATAAAGCAATCTTTCTTGTGGCGCTGGGTCCATTAAAATCGGTTAGGTATTGGCGATAGTCAGCTTTCCTAGAAGCACACTTTGAACCCGTGAAACCCGTCGGCTGGCAGGAGAAGTATGCCAAGTAGCGGTTGTACTGCCAAGACACTTTGCTGGGCTCCGATGCTGATGTGCCTTGGGGATGATGACGGGACTGGGCTGATCGATGTTAAGATTGAGCAGCATGATGTTGACACGAGGCAGGATCATGCAGAGATGGACAAGTGGAGGCACAAACGTAGAAGAGGATGGAGGAAGAAGAGAAGACGATGTGTGAAGTGAATGCAGAGAGAATGCGAGAAATGGATGCAAATATGTGGATAAGGAAAAGCAGGATGTGGGGTACGGACAGGATGATGTGCGAAACATGCAGTGTCATGTTGGACTAAAGCGACTGATGTTGAACTCGACGGACTGACACAGAAGACAGGTTTCGTGAAGTCCACGGCAAGGCTCGTCACGGAAGAACGATGCATCATTTTTGGGACAACCGTGGGGATCTTGTACTGACGCCTGACGGGTCCTGACGTCATGTCCAGGAACATCACCCAAATAATTGAGGGCAAGAAGTCCACACAGAGAGTTGTATTTGAGGCCAGCCCCAACGAGTTAAACGAGTATTTTGTGGGGATGGGCCTCCGTGTTGCTGGTGAGGTTTGAGCCAGGAGGGCTCCTTGTGCTTCCATGCCGTCTACCTATGACTGGCACCTGTGCCTTTGTTCTGGAGCACATGACTATCGCCTCTCTCCGTCCCGTACTCTTCTATGCAAATTCAGGAGCTTGTGTGGTTGACGATATTTGTATTAGGGTGACCAAGATTTGTTTTGAAATCATACGTCACGTTATCTCTTTCATTCTCAGCACCTGTCTCACATCCTGCGAATTCCCCGACTCCTAGAAACATTCCATGGTACATCCCATTTACAAGTCTGGAGGCCCATCAGATGATTCGAACAATATTTGGACATCTGGTTCCGCTCCCACTGTCCAAGTGCAGATATTGGTAAAACGGAATTTATAGTCCGTGGCTCCCGTTAAAATCACCGAGGCGGGGCTCCCATTACTGCTGGGTTCCGCGAGGACGCAGGCCTTGAGTAAGGACGCAGTGACTTGTGCCGGTGCATTGCGTGAAGAGCCTAAAGCACCTCACCTGGGCTCTCACGTACCTGACGCCGTGAAAAAAAATGCAATGGTACCCTCGTCGGGCTATCCCACGTGCATAATCCGATCCTGCTTATGTTTATGCCTACCTTGATTAACGCCTTGGTCCCCTCGCACGTTCGCTATTGCCTTCCCGTCTGCGGCAACATATCGGAGAAAAACACGCAGCGCCTCCGAAATATCCTAAACTCTGCAGCTGCACGTTGCCTCCGGCCGTCGCAAATTTGACCATATCTCGGTTGTGGGGAGTGGTCTGGCCTACTTCCAGTCAGCTCTTCCAACAACACTATTGAGTTGCCTCACTATGTGTCACACACACACACACACACACACACACACACACACACACACACACACACACACACACACACACACACACACACACACACACACACACACACACACACACACACACACACACACACACACACACACACACACACACACACACACACACACACACACACACACACACACACACACACACACACACACACACACACACACACACACACACACACACACACACACACACACACACACACACACACACACACACACACACACACACACACACACACACACACACACACACACACACACACACACACACACACACACACACACACACACACACACACACACACACACACAGTATGTGTCACCGGCAAACTGCAAGCTCTTGCCCCTCCCCCCCCCCCCCCCCAGATACAGGACAACGTTTCTCTTCGATCACGCTCTACTCATCGCATCACTGATCTAGCACTTCCGCGCGTGGCAACGGAGGCGGGTAGGTGGCGCCTCCTGTACAATGTAGAACAACTCTACATCGCTTTGCCTCACCATGTCACTCGTGTCTTTTAAGTGTGAGCTTTTAGCTGAAAATTGATGAATATGTGTGTGTGTGTGTGTGTGTGTGTGTGTGTGTGTGTGTGTGTGTGTGTGTGCATGTGTGTGTGTGTGTGTGTGTGTGCGTGTGTATGTGTACTTAAGGTGCGTTTTGTATGTGCGCCTTTGATGCACCACTGTGCGGTCGTTGCCACGAGTGTTCTTTTTAACATGTCTCTTCTCTTAGTTTTATCGACTTGACACTCAGAATCATTGGTTTATGTTGTAGAGTGTTTTAAACCCCAATACATACTGCCATACTCTCAAACTATGTGTAATAGCCAGCCATTACTTCAGCCTATGATTAGTTTGCGACCCACCACGTAATTGTACCTTTGCTCTATTAAATTGGCATGCTTGTGTTCGCTGGAAGTTCAAGCGAAGTGTGAATGAATGACAGTCATTATGGAAGGGACAAAATGTCTTCATATTTGACCTACGTACGCAACACAATACACGGTGTCGAGTGGTGCCATTGCATCTGTACGTGCGCATCATCACGGCACACAGCACGCATGTCATGACGCCCGTGAGTCAGCATCTTCCGCATAACCCCCAGGTCCACTTTGTCACCTTCCGCTTGATCCTGTTGACTAGTCGGGTCTTGCTGCTGTCAAGTTTCGCGGCATACCAGCTGCTTGAGGATGCTCCACATTGATCCGACGGGTTAATCATCGCACCACACGATGTTGGGTATATTTGGAGGGCTGCCTTCCTTTGCGATGTAGGGGATCTCATGGTTGTCCATGTGTGTGACGGTATCTCGTTGGTAGTGCGAGTTGGCCAGCACTGGCCAGAGCATCTAATCTTTCTTGGAGTAGTGCACGTCCAGGAATGGCTTTAAGTGACGTTTCACACACTGCTTCAGGTACATTTCGCGGTTCATGCGGCCGTTCTCCATAAAGAGGGCCTGATAGATAACCTTGCGTTGATCCCAACCCTCCCCATGGTACAATGTGCGACACTTGGTTACCGAATTGCTTCACGTCATAGAAATATTTTCAGAGTGCGCCTTGTTCTTGCCTTATCAGAGCCTATACGGTCTTGCCATCCGTGTAGAATTCGCGACCTCTGAAGTATTCAGAGCCTGAGAAACCGTGGGAGGCTTCGTTATCCATCATAATGTCTATCTACCTCACGCATTTAGAAGTCCAGGTCGAGCATCCTGCATCTTCTCTTTATCTTATCATTTGGCTTCTTTGCCCCTAGTGACGCCGGATGGTGGGCGTTAACTCTCTTGTATTATGGCAGGCCACACTCGTGAATGACGATCACATACATACATGTGAGACTTGGAGATCTTGTGCTAGGTACCTCCGCCTCCATTGGACAGTTCAGCTCTGTTCTTCAACTCTCTCTTTGGTTTTATGAGGTTGTATTTCGCCTTTAACGGGTTTCGATTACCTCCAGGGTTTTTTATTACTGTCTGACCGTTCTCTTCTTTGTAGCATCATATATCATTTAGCCCTCGAGAGATCTTCCAAAACATAGTATTGCACAGTGAGCGTCTTCCCCTTCCTTGTGCTGCTCATGAGATTGAGCAACTCTCTCAGCGTGGCTCATTCTTCCGTTTGCAATAACTGCAAGTTTATGTTTCTAACAAAGGTTTGGAACCAATAAGAATCAAATTGTACGTATCTTTAAGCCACGACCAAAATTACGTGCCGTACCGTTCATAACATGAGCAACATTTATCATGAGCCCATGTCGCAAGTTCTGCGGGGCACACGGGTGTTACCGGTGCAAGGCTGGTATCCTCCAGTGTGAAGCATGTCATCTCGGCGCAGTCACCCCGGTCTCATCCACTCAACTGTGTCTCCGTCCAGCGCCCGTCCCGAGCGAAATACCGCCACGTCATGCTGACCAGGCGCGATGGCAGTAAAACAGCGGCGTGCGTCCGCCTGGCCGAGCTGTATATTTTTCGCATGACCTCGGCCGCTCCCATGACGTGACGGCTCGGTGGACTTGCGTGAGCGTGATGAAGTGATGAATAAAATTGTAGCAGCGTAAAGACCCAATTATGTTATTATGGCAAAAAATGAAGACACTGGATGAATTAGAGCTTGGGTCACAACTTTGCACGCATGTAACTAAACATGATCCCGTGGGCTTAATTAACTGAGCATGCTTAGCTGTTAGAATGTTCATTCTAATGAAAAATGTTAGCTATTTACCATCTCAAATATCCATGACTTCCATATTTTCTTTCCTAGAACATCAGAACGTCATCCAGTGGAGAACCATCTCCTATGTCGCGTAACATCTCAAAAGTAATTGAAAGCCACCAATGCATTCACAGAATATCGGAGCTGGTCTACTAGTTTGTGAGATAATTCTGCATCGGCAGGTTTCCACCACACTTCATTTTAACCACCGACTATTAACACCTAGACAACATGTGCATGGCCAGTCAGATCTCATGAATTCACTACCTAATCCTCAAATTTTCTTCCAGTTTGGATCGAGCTGAGGCCTTCGCGTGATATCTGACCTGACCGCCGCCGTTCTGCGGCGACCTGGCACGGTATGGTGGCGACATCTGCGAGCGATGCGGGCAACCACGATGAGCTGAAGGGTGGGCGGCTGCTGCGCCAGGTGCGCTCACGACGTTTGATGTGTGTGATGAGCTTATGATCTGTGGCGGATCAGGCTGTCGTAGATCACATCAAAATGACATCACAATGTTACCAATGATGAGGTTATTGTTTGAGTGCCCACGTTTTAACGCATGGGCATAGCAGAAAATCTCAGTATGCGTACTGGTGTTATATCCTGGCCAGGATGCTCGTTTGACATCATAGCACCAAACATTTCTGACCGCTGGATGATTAATCGTCTGACTATTGACCGTCACGTTACGCACGTCATGTCACGAGCACATCACGGCAGCGATCGTCATGATAGACCGATTGTCAGTCCTGCAAGGATCTAATCTATCTTGTGCACTGCAGCTTCCTTGTAGCACGCGCCAGGGTGGCCAGCTAGATACCCTTCGCTCGGGTGTGGGGGGAGGGGATCAATTTGACCCCCCCCCCCTGAGACCTCGGGAACGAAAAGAGCTAGAGACACTAAATTTACGGAGTGTGTTGACCTGTAAGTGAACGCACTTGGGCCAAAGCTTCGGGTTCCTAGGTCATGACCTTCGGGTCAAAAAAGATCAAACTAGGCCGAGTTCCGGGTTGGTCTCCCAAGTGCTCCCAGAGCCTAGATAACCGTTTCTAAGCAAAATGTCACACTCTCATTCAAGGTTAGTGACCTTGTTTGACCTTTTGAAGGTCAAGGCGATCAAAATCATACAAGATTGCTTTGAATTTTGCATTTGACCAAGCGACAAAGGTTACGCCAGGCAGTATGTTCCTAAAACAAAATGTTAACCTGGGTCATTTTAGGTCAATAACCTATTCTGACCTCTAAGAAATCCATGGAAGATGTATAATGCGGTTCCTGCTGTCAATCAACTCGAAATGAGCGCCAAAACTATCCCATACAGCAAGCCCGGGACTAACAAAGCAGTTTGGTTTTGACCCTGGTGGGACCTTTATTCCTGACCTTAGATCAACGCAATTTGCTCATCCAATAGTTGTGTCGCCTCAGAAAGCTTCTAAGAGATGTATGGCTTCGTGTAACCCTCCGTTGTTGGATCATGTTAAAGGATTCCCTAGAAATTGCCTTCGCTGAAACCATGATCTGACTTTGACCTACCATAGATCAGCAACCTTACACAGTGCATCTGAATTGATGACGCCAAACGATCCGCTATGCAATTGTCTACCGGTGTGCAAAATTTGGCGCGCCTAGGCTGCGTCGTTCGGAAACCATTTTAGAATCACCTTCGGTAGGTCAATTTGAGCCCCACCCGAGCGCTTGTTAACCTCCGATCATTCAAGGGTTGGATTGCCCGCAGACTTTGATCTAAAAAAGTTCCGGGCCGCCCAAGAAACCTGGCCATATGTAGGCTGCTGCAGTGAAAAGGATATCCTTCCATTTGGACGCACATGCGTATGGATCGGAAGCTTCATGGTGCCCAGCCGCTTTTGATTTGGTATTTATACGACAAGAGCCTTGGACCGCGTCTCGACTTATAAACATTGTGGGGATCAATGGCCCTGTCTGAGTTCATTGTGCACATTTCCGATTGTCTGACTGTATGAACTGCCGCGGACTGTTTGTTTCAAGGCGTCCCTGGAAGTCAAGGGGCCGTGAGCTGGGAGCGAGAGCTCACTGCGCGCACTTGACGCATGCTCGGTCCTTCATGAGGCCTTGACAATCTTGACAATCAAATCCTTGACAACCATTTCGGCGACTTAATGTGGCTTGTTTTCTTCTGCACCGGCAGCGCGTAGTTCGTGATGGATCATACTCGAGAGGAAGAGCGTGTTTACCGTCGACGCTTCGTTATGCCCGTTGCCAACAGGTCTTGATCGGGGTCACAGTGGCTTCGTTCAGCGGGTGCCAGGGAGCACACACGACCGTGCCGGCCGTCCTGCTGCCGCAGCTGATGACGAACGGGTCGGACATACCTCTCACAATGCAGCAAGGAACCTGGTTTGGTGCGTATCGTGGGCAGCGAGGGGCGAGGAGTGTTGTGCTGCACGCGAACTCGAAAAGTCAGCATTGCCACGCGTGCTTTGAGCATCGCTTGCACCCTGTCAGTGTCGCGATGCAGTTCTGAAAGCCAGCGAAAAGCTGGGGAAGAGCATTGTATATATTTTCACCACTCCGCCGTCATCTTCCAATTTCACATGCAAAGCGGTGCTCTGAATGCGCAGGGCACGTGGCTTTGAATTGAAAAAGTTGGTGGTCGGTGTGGTCACCAGTACCGCGCTCAGCAAATTAGCGTTACAGCGAGCGAGCGAGCGAGCGCACGTTTATGTGTGACAGCCAGTGCACATCTTTTAGTAAAACGCTGCGACTTTTTATTTCAGCCAGCATGCACTCCTTGTCGGCGCTGGCCGGCTCCGCGCTGGCCGGTGTTCTGGTCCACCACCTCGGTCCGCGGCGGGTGCTGCAGCTGCAGGCGCTACCCTGCATCGCCGGCTGGCTGCTCATGGCACTAGCCTACAACTTCCCCATGCTGATGGTGGCCCGGTGCTTGATAGGCTCGTCTTGTGGTGTAGCCATGAGCGCCGTACAGGTGAACCGGCGGTGACTATGCATAACACGATTATTTACTACATATATATATATATATATATATATATATATATATATATATGCATATGTGCATATAGATATATGCGTATGTGTGTCTGTGTGTGTATAACTGTGCAATGTATACCGTCTAGAGAAGGACAGAATTGTAGTAAGACTACGATGGCACCTAAACAATATCTTTCTGAAGACGTGATTGCATTTTGACTCAGACCGGGACGTAACTAAACACAAGGGTCCGATGATTTGTGGTTCGGATCCCGTTTTTAGCATAATTAAAACGAAAAGTAGCTGTAGTAAGTCACTCGCGTTTATCACGTGAAAGAGAGCTAAAAATCGCCGGAAATTGATCGCGCAGTCCTTACAATGGCTAACTTCTGGTTTCACTGATTTTCAAAGGTACACAACTCTTGTTTGTGAGCTCTTGAAGTGCTCGTTAAAAGAAGTGTTGTTGATTTCAATTCTAGCATCTCGTAGCTGTGCGTTGAAACGATCCCTCACTGTTCTTTTTATTTCGCTAACGTTTATAGAGGTTTTATTTTGTGGTGATAGGCTGATTTTGTGCTAAGGGTAGTCGTCCTGTTGCCCGACAGACCTGGCAAGTTAGGTATCATATAATTTTTTTCTGGTATGGCACCTGCTGTTCAGCCGCGCCTTACAATGGCAGTTTATATCTCCCAGTGGACATGTGGTTGGATTAAACACGCTCTTGGTGAGGTGTTGTGCAGGGGTCTTCCACTAGACCATGCTACGCATAGGGCAAGGGCAAGGGCATGCTACGCATAGGCTTGTTTTGCTGCTGTTGTTACCCTCTTGGTTAGTACATCATCACTGTGATCGACCATAGATCTGGTAAGGACCTAATGACGTCACGCATTTCGCCCCGGTTGGCCAGCAAGGAAAGGAGCGGCTTGAATGGGTACACGTGCTATTTTGCTATCCTATAAGTTGCAAATTCCCTCAAATTTTGAAAGATTTTCTTCAGAGGCATGCTAGGTTTCATTCAACACGCGCTCGGGTGGGGGTCAAAATGACCCCCCGAAGGTTTTTCAGGATGGTTTCCGAACGGCGTGGCACAGCCGCGCAACATTTTGCATAGCTGTAGACAAGTGAATAGCAGATCGTTAAGTATCAAACATTTAGGTATAAACATAAGTATCAAACATTTATCAAACACAAATACCTTGTAAATTCGCGGACCTATGGCAGGTTTCAATCAGGCAGGTATCAAGCCATGGTTTCAGCAAAGTCATTTTCTAGGGAATCGATCAGTCTGATGCAGCAACGAAGTGTTAGACGAAGCCATGCATCTCTGAGATACTTTCTTAGGCAACACAAATATTGGGTGAGCAAATTACGTTGGCCTAAGGTTAGGTATGAGGGTCAGACTAAGGTCAAAACCATTCTATTTTATTTCTCTAGGGCTTGCTGTATGGCATAGTTCTGGTGCTTACTGAGAGTTTATTGACAACAGGAACCGCATTGTTTATCTTCCAGGAACTTTTTATAGGACAAAACAGGTCATTGGCCTAAAATGACCCAGGTCAACATTTTGTTTTTGGAGACATACTGCCTGGTGTGATCTTTGTCGCTTATTCAAACGCGAAACTCAAAGCCGTCTTATATGATTTTGGTCACCATGACCTTCAAAAGGTCAAACGAGGTCACTGACCCAAAATGAGCATGAGACCTTTTGCTTAGATACAGTCATCTAGGTTCTGGGGGCACTTTGGAGACCAGCCTGGAATTTGCCATTATTTGACCTTATTTGGCCTGAAGGTCATGACCTAGGACCTTGAAACTTTGACCTAAGTGAGTTCACGTACCGGTCAGCACACCCTGTAAATTTGGTATTTCTAGCCATCTTATTCCCGAGATCTCAGGGAGTTAAATTGACCCCCTCCCCTCTCCCGAGCGAAATGTATCCAGCCGGCCACCCGGGCGCGTGTTAAACGTTCAAACATAACGCGGATACGTGCATTGATTTTCAAGATGTTTACAAAAAAAAAACTGTGGAAGGGTGCAAATTCCGCCCGCTATCAGTCTGTAGCAGTCCATGAGCATTGATCAGTCCGCTACCACGCTGTGTGTCACGTTTCAGGTGTATCTCGGAGAGTCCTCTTCACCCCACATCCGTGGTCGGATGGTCTGCATCAGCGGGCTGATGATCTCACTGGGCTTGCTAGTCAGCTATGTGAGCGGCTTCCTGCTGCCATGGCGCTGGGTACCCGTCGCGCCGGTCATCGTATTCATCATGCCCAACGCCATCGGCTTGTTCTTCGTGCCCGAGTCGCCGTACTGGCTGCTGGGGCGGAATCGGCGCGAGCATGCGCGACAAAGCCTGCGCGTGCTGCGCGGAGACGATGACGTGGCGGAGCGGGAGTTGCAGTTGATTACTGCGGCGAGCAAGGCCCGCCAGAAGCCGCTCACCATGCGGGAGCTGGGGCGAGAGATGCGCAAGCTGTCCGTCCTGGCGCCGTTCCTCACCATCACCGCGCTCTTCGTTCTGCGGATTATGACCGGCGTGGCCACTGTGATGACATACGCGGTGGTCATCTTCCAGGGGACGGGCTCGGCTCTGGGCAGCTACGAGTCGGCCATCTTGATCGGATGCGTGCGCGCGTTTGATTCCGTCTGCTGCGTGTTGTACGTCAGCGACAGGTTTGGTCGGCGCCCTCTCCTCATGTTCTCCGGCATTGGCTGCTCGCTTGCAGCACTTGGGATGGCCGCATTTATCTTCGCTCGTGACCAGGCGCCACTTTGGCCCGGTTGGCAGCGCATCTCATGGCTCCCACTCCCCCTCATCCTGATGTTTACAGTTGCTTTCGACTACGGCTTTGCGCGCACTGGCTGGGTAGTGCACTCGGAAATTCTTCCCAACCGGATACGCTCGGCGCTCTCCGGCGTTACCCTCCTCATCCACAACCTCTCCACGTTCGTGTCCGTGTTTTCGTTCCCTTACATCCGAGAAACGCTCACACTGGCCGGCTCGTTTTGCATCTTTGCTTTCTTCAGCTTGCTCGGTCTCCTGCTAACCATCTTCTTCATTCCTGAAACAAAAAACAAACGACTGGAGGCGATCGAAGCCTTCTACGTTAAGCGTTTCGGCGGCCACCAGGCGGAGTCTTCTGATGTAACCGAGTTTGAAGTAGTTCAACGTCAGAGCGAATGACGTCTTTCATCGATCGTGCAATGTGGAAGCTGATTTACTTAGCAGACGTTAGGTCATTGCAAGTTTTCGGCGCGTTGTGCCGTTTAAGACGACACATGCGGCCCGCGTAATCACCGATCAGTCAGGGGAGACACAGCTCGAACTTTGCTCCTTTCCAGCTTATCAGCAAACGGCCGCTCAGGTTGCCACAGAAACGGCTGCCTGTGATAATTTCTGGGTTCAGTAGGCCAAGATAAACGTAAAACGGAATGATATTTTGTTGTGACATGTACTGTACACCTTAGAAATATCAGGAAGTTTTCGATTTCACTATTTAATGGAAATAAACCTAAGGTAAGCAAGAAATGCAGCCAGTCCTTGATCTTCTAGTTTTCAACGAAATTAGTTCAGATTTATAATGCTGGCATTTAGATATCTTCGATTACCAGAAGGTACTGGTTAAATGACGTCATCAAACAAACATTGGTTACATTGTCAATACCCAATGTTTTGCAGCTATGCTTATAATCACGAGTAAAATGGCATATATATATATAAGGTGAAATGGTTTATAAAAACGTCAACTACTATCCACAGCAAGTGGCTGAGGCAACGGTTGTCAAGGCGTTTCTTACGCACCCTGTTAGGCAGTGATCTTTAGGGGCTCTGGGCACGCACACTCCGAACAAGTTAGCGGAGGATGACCTCACGGAAGGCGTTCGCTGCTGGGTTGACGCGCGACCAACTCCGAAAGGGGGAACATATGTGAATGCGCGTTGTGTGTAGCATGAATATGATAGACGCGAGTGTGATTTCGAATGTGAATGTGTATGAAGTGTTCAAAGCTCATCGTGTGGAGAGGAGGGCACTGTTCCCAGTGATATCCATGACACCTCTGGGGATTGGTCAGCACTTCTGGGGATGACGACTTGAATGCGTTGTACTAGCAGGAGCAACGGCTTTGTCCAGATTCTACGGCGCACTGAAGAACGAAACCTGTGTTTAATAGACATCTTTGAAGGCAATGCAGGTTTTACGGGCCGCTATCCGTGGGTTGGTTTGGATTCGACGACGTCTAAGGTTGTGATCTACGGGGTCAATGAAGGCGGCGGGTGACGGTGGAGTCAGGACATGATTTCAGGACCAGGCAGGGGCGGTAAAAGTGTATTTTTTGTCGCCGACCGAATTTATGGAGGCAAAATTGTCGCCAATAGCGTAATGCGATACATATGTCATAAAATGCTAATGACGTGCAGGCTCAGTTACATCATTAGGAATCAGCCTACCACCGAAAGACTTTCATCACCGTGATTTTCAATATCAGCCACACAACCAATAGCTCAATTATACAATGTCCTTCAACTCATGGCAGGATAAGTGCTGCTACTAAGAAAGCAGACGCAAATGCCCTCGCACAAATCTTGGCAGCTGAAAATTTATATGATAGTCAATGTTGTAGTCCATGGGAAGGCCGTGCAAATTGAAGAGTGACGTGGTGAAGTAATTGTAGGCGATAACAGAGAGGGACAGGGGGTACAGGTTCCATTGCTATCTTCCTTTCACCAATATCCTTACTTCAAATAGGAGATTTTGGGGGGATTTGGTCCAACTGTCCTATGATTTCAGTAAAAGGTTGGCATTCGGTTATCTCTGAGGAAAATGCTGGCTATTTCCTGATGATAGCACCCCTACTGCGACAAGAAGACTCTGGAAGCGATTCATTCTGCAATGCTCATTTGTGTCCATATTTTCTCCACACTTGTGATATGGCACTGCGCGGGCGCAAATGTGGTATATTTACTTACTGTTGGTGCTTACTTTGAATATAAAAATTGTCATGATGGAATCCTTAGCATAATCACTGTACATATGCCGTACAGGTTGTAAAGGCTGAGAGCCTGCCTTATATGCAACTTTTATTGAGGGTAGAAAACCATATAGTTTGTGTCGTGGTAGCATAATGACAGGAGTGCCAAATTTTATGCATGGTTAGGGGGAGCTAGCAGCCCGGGGGTAATAATTAGCAAATGTAGCACAGAGAAGATGACTTTGTGCGCAAGTTAGTTCTTGTTCCCATATATGTTTAAAATCTTCCATTTTCCTGACGTTTGCAAACTAAAAAAGGCAGAGCCGCGCGAGCAAAAACAGCAGTGAACCATCTTTAACGAAATCTCGCGGTTGGTGAGAAGTCTCCTATTACTGGCCCCGCTCGACCAAGTCTTACGTCAAATTTTCCTAAAACTTTAACGATTTCATCTTTTCATGTTCATGTATACAAAACCATGCAGTAGAGTGATAAGAAACATTTTATAAGCTGTAGACGATTGAATAGTGGATCGTTTGGTGTCAAAATTTAGGTGTACCTTACAAGTTTGCTGACCTACGGCAAGTCAAAGCCAGATCATGAATTCAGCAAAGTTAATTCGTAGGGAATGATTCAATTGAATGCGTCAACGAACTATTGCACGAAGCCATACACCTTTTAAATGCCTTCTTAGGCGACACAATAATGAATAAACACGTTCTATTGACCTAGGTCAGATACAAAAGTCAGACCAAGGTCAAAACCAGCCTGTTTTATTGCCCCAGGGCTTGCTGCATGGGGTAGTTTCTGGTGCTCATTTCGAATCTATTGGTAACAGGAACCGCATTACATGTCTTCCATAGACTTCTTAAGCGTCAGAGTAGGTCACTGACATAAAATGACCCAGGTCAACATTGCATTCCAGGAGCATACTGCATAGCGGTGTACTTGTGGCTTACTCAAATGGAAAATTCAAAGCAGTCTTTGATGACTCTGGTCCTTCGAAAGTTCAAACAAGGTCACTGATCTTAAATGAGCATTTGACCTTTTGCTTGGAACAGGTATCTAGATTTTGGGGTCACTTTGGACACCAACCTGGAGTTTGACCTTGTTTCACTCTATTTGACCCGAAGTTTGTGACCTAGGAACCTCAAAATTTGGCCCAAGTGGGTTCAAGTGCAAACCAACACACCCGGTGAATTTGGTGTCTCTAGCTTTCTTCGAGCACAGGTGAATGTGGTTAAACGCCTAAAGCAGTTTGCAATCTGATAACCAATACACTCGTGCAAAAGGTGGAGACCGGAAACCGTGTAGTTTGTCTACCACCATGTGCACAATGCTCCACTCAACATGTGAACGCTGGTTTCCAAAAACATTTCGTAATAATTCAGGGTTCCGTTCTGAAATCTGGCGCTAGCGGAACGCTCTATGCCGGGCTTGCATTAAGGTAATAGAAAGAATCGGGGTTCAAATCTAGGTAGGAGCCAGTGATTCCACGAAGTACCTATTTCTATTAACGGAATGTACATTATGAATACCAAAAAGCCTGATGAGGCACGTTAACGCGCCATTAGTGTATCGCTGCATGGATAGAATCCTTACCTGCAAAAGCCGCAGAGCGGCCCGCGGCGCTATTACACAATGTGAAGGGATGTTCTGGTCACATGGAGTGATCAGACCTCGCCCGACCCAACAAAAGGCATTCAGTGAGCACATACCTTCGTATTCATCAGATACTGAAGGAAAACTAGTCTTTTCACCGAAACAGCAGGTGATTACGCTCAAAAGAAAAAAGCATCCCTCTGAATAATCGTGCATTCATTAGTACCATTCATTATGTACATCTTTTGGGATGTGCAAAATCGGCAAACTGTTATTACCTAGCTAAGCAATTGAATGTACGCTGTACACTCGTGCGATGAACCTGGACTTATACAAGCCTAGGGAATAAGTCTCGTCCATACTGAATAAAATACAAACGCAGGTGTATCGACACATGGCGGCTCGATTGCGGTTGAGCATAATATCAAAATAGGTGTATTGAAAAATGGGGATAGATATTTCATTTCTCAGCAAATCATTGAAATATCCATGCCCGGAAGATCTCCAACGAAATTCAGAAGACAAATTCAAGACACCTAGTTCTAAAGGCTTCAAACCAAGATGTTGGTGACATTGGAGAAGAGTGAGATGCCACTCTTAATAATGGCCTGCTCTTCCAAAATCCTCCTGTTTTGCTGATCGTCGGTCAGCATGGTCATCAGAACATGCTCACTGCTGGTCTAAAACCTGTTGGGTGGAAGATTCCCGGTGGTAATGTCGCGGTCTCTCCCTGATCGCGATGTCTGTTTTTTATTTATTTTCATCCATACAGGCCCAACGGCTCGAAAACGCATTCATTGGATCCGCGCTTCTTTTCTCAGAGCTAGAGGTACACCGTTCTCCTGCGCTCCCCAGAACGGAACCCTGTAACAATAACACAACGAGATAATTGCAGAACAGCTGGTCAAAGATGGCAGTCGCAGGCTGACATTCAACATAATCAACCATCGATGAACTCCATGCAGTCAATGAGCGAAGCGTTTGTTTATTATGCCTTACGTGCTACTGGAGCCACTGAATTGTTGAATGGCATTTGTGCCCTGTGTTTTTGTTGAGCTGTGCATGCGAAAAACTGAAGCCATTCAGCTGAAATAGTTAAGAACAGTCCGCATTCGGGAATATAGGTGTAGGAATTAAAAACAGCATTATGCAGTGCGCTTTCCATCATTGCACACCTAAAGAGTGCTGTTGAATTAGGTAAATTTAAGTTAAAGCGTAAAATTAAGTAAAAGCGCTCATTTTCCTGTTTCGTTTTATTTGGTTTGCCAATCCAGAATGGTCGTTGCGACCGACACGTTCACTACAAGCTAAGGTATATTCATCTAGCGGTCCAGGAAATTCCCACGCTGATCTTTGTATTTCACTTGCTTGAAGCGAGAAAGGCTTAAAGATCCATTTGCAGTATCATCAGCTGGGTGATATTTATATCACAATAATTGACATTCAATATACCCCAGGGTCCTGCTTAAGCGATGTTGTCAAGCAAGCATAATTGTGCTGATAGAATTCACCTCTGAAAGGTGTGGTCCAGAGACGCCGTGTTCTGGAGGCTTTTGCTTAAAGTCCAATCCAACGTCCAAGGATCAACCAGCTGTCTATACAAAAACTGTCAAAAAATAGTTTGTCCTGAACTTTTAATTTCTTAAATATGAAATAATTATTAGCTGTAATCAGTAACTCGAGCCACTGCTCGCATCACCGCATTCCCTCACTTGAATCGAATGAAGAAAGAAAATGACCATGAGTAAATAAGGCGTATCGCAGGCTTTCGCGAAGCCGACTTCATTGCCCATTTCAGGTTGACCTAGCACAATAAGCATAAAATGACAAAGGTGTCAGCCATAAAACGGCGATTCAAAAGTGGCGCGAACTGCGAATTTGGACGCCTCGATGCTCGGTGCTCGTGTTCCCATCTCCGGTTAACAAATGTGTGTCAGACAACAAATATGGCCTAACAAATATGTGTTAACAAATACGGCCTAACAAATATGTGTCAGATTGCGTATGACAAGGATTTCTATATTTCAGTTGGATATGTCATTAGGATATGACATATAAGAAATAATATTATAGAATAGATTATAAAATATATTAATCTTAGAGAATATATTATAGAACATATTGATATCATAGAATATATTAGGGAACATATTAATATTATAGAGGATATTATTCTATATTTTAGTAGAAAAGAGGATATTATTCTACATTTTAGAAAATGACAAGGGTTTCTACCTCACGTTTCATAAAATATGACTTTGTATTGTACTCTATCAACAAGTTGTTCATGTTCCAAAACCAACTTATTTTGGAAAAGAGCGTAATAAGCTGAAATGCATATAACGTTATGACACAACAAAAATAATAGCATCTGCACCCCATGTTGAAATGGCTTGGCAAAAATAGCAATCATATGTTGTAATTTTGACAACTTTTACACCGGAGGTTGACATGAATATCAACTGCTCATAGCATCCAAACAGTCCGCCCTATTCAATTACTATTTTGGGTTGATCATTAACACAAGAATGAGTTAATTAAGTGATGATTGTGATGGTGAGGGCGAGAAGTGAGTGAGTTGTTGTGAGGCAAAGCTGGGGCTGAAGTGGTGCC